TGAATATTTGACATCTCTTGACTTCCTGCTCTCCTATAAACTAAAAGCTTCTGAGGCATGGGAATGTTGGCATCACTATTTGTCTTAAATATGGCATGTTGTCTTCTTACATATAACATGGTAGCAGACACTGAGCACAGAACTTCTTATGCTGGTGAAAACTGTATTCTGTTTGGTTTTACACTGGCTTTCTTGAGCTGTTAGTGGGACTACTTTTTCTTGCTCACTTTCAATGAAGTGAATTTTTCATGTTTCAGAGTCTTTCATGTTTTGCCTGCTCCTTGTCATATTCTGATGTACTTATCTTAGGCATTTTCATAGTGACATCCTATTAGTATGCTTTATCACATTCACATTGTTCGTGTGATAAAAATTCATGTTGCCTTGCTGCAACTTGCAATAGCTTTTCCTCCTGAATCGTAGTCAACAGCTGTTATTATTGCAATTCAGGTGTTAAAAATAGCATTTGTAAATGTTTGTTGAGCTTTAGGGGTTCAGATGTCCTTTTAGATAGTTCTGTGATTGTGTTTCTTGTTTGTTGTTGACAAATATGTTAAGCAGTGGTTTTTCTTGGATGACTGGCTCTCTATGGTATGTCTTGTTGGTGAGTATTTGTGCACTTTAGAGTTGGGGTTGAGATATGCATCCTCTGGTGTAGTCTATTGACCTCTACTTTTTCTTATTTAACAAATTAGATGTATAATTCTGCTATCACTCTGTGCGTATGTGTAAGCATGGGTTTGTGCTTGTTTCCATGATTTTTTGTTGCTTTATATCCAGGTTCCTAGAGAATCTTTGCTATTTATAATCCCAGCTTTTGGAGGTCTGGTTTCTTGGAGGGAGAAGGAGCTCCATTCAACGAATCTGATCAGAGCATTACTCATCAGGTCTGACACAGCAGATGTAATATAAAATGCATATGTCTTCAAATTCATTTGTCGTGTGAAATGTATCTGATTTGGTAGATGTGATTTTGGCACCAAAACCCAAAGAACACTACTAGACATGTATTGTTGTGATATGCTAAACAACTGTAGCCACAGATTGTAGCAAACAACTGTATCCCAACACTAACCCAAAGAACACTACCTTGTGTTGTGCTGGATTGTGAGGTTTGGGATATTAGGTACCTCTGTAATCTGATCCTGATTATTTGAACTATGCATGATCACGTATGTGTTTCCACTTGTTGTAGGGGTGTTAAACCTCTAATTTGTGTTGATGAAGCTTTAACTTCTAGTCTGAAAGTATATATGATCCTAAAATTTTGCATGTGCAGATTGTTGACAGGCCAACTCAGAAACACACATTCCTTTCTCGAGCATATTTGCAGCCTCAATGGGTTTATGATTGTGTAAATGCGCGAATAGTATTGCCTACTGATGATTACTTAGTTGGAAGGTAATGTTTTATGTTTTGTGTTTGCATGAGTACGTATATCTTCCATAATCATTGACAATAAATTCAGTAGTTATTTGTTGATTCACTTTGGGGTCCATAGACCATTATCCTATGTTTAGTTCCTTAGAATAATTCTAAGTCCAAAGAAAGGGTAGGAGAATATGTAATTGACTATCACTTTTTTTGGGTTGTATCATCCTTTGGCAGGATGGTGTCCTCCTCACTGTATGTTTTCAATGTTTATGTACTAGACATTTTTATCATTTGGATGTCCTAAGAAGTTTGTCTTAGCAGGATTCCTCCACCACATTTGTCACCTTTTGTTGACAATGAGGCAGAAGGATATGTTCCTGAGTATGCAGAGACCATCAAACGGCTGCAGGCTGCTGCAAGAAAAGAAGTCCTTCCAATGCCTGGTGTGGGAACGGAAGACTTGGCTGATCCACAGACTTTATTGGTTGAAGGTATCATTGATCGTGCTGAAGCAATTGAAGCTGCTGAGAAAAAGAAAAAGGTATTTTCAAAGTAGATCTAAGCTGATTAAATGTGATACTAATTGTGTAAACTATAGTATAATTTTCTCACATAACTGTCTTTTTTTTTTTTTAATTTCAGAACTAAAATATGTCCTAGCTTAGAGTATTGGTATAACTTAAGGATCACGTGCTTTTCTCGTCTGACAGATTAAATCTCATAACTGGTGGTTGTCATTGCACGTATTTATAGAAATCTAGGATACAAACTAGTTCATCATCTGATATATTGGGTTAACATGGAATGATTTTTTAAATTCTGCCGGACAAGAATTATTTTTACAAGTATCTTACTTGTTAACGGGAATTATACCTTTACTACAGTTAGGTACCTGGTATTGTTAATTGTCCGAGTGTTTTTACCTTCACTATGATTATTTACTTCGCCTATTAGATGGTGAGTATGATGGCGTTGGTCTGTGATTTAGTGGATACTTGCATTCAGAAACCTATAAATAACTGAATGGACCCTATTGGTGAAGTACTAATATTTACCAGGGAAGTCATATGTCTTCCCTTTGTGTAGAGGTTGAACTCCTTTACTATATTTCATGCCACCACAATTCCTCAAATCTGACCTTTAAGCATTCTGTCTAGATCAAATTTATGTGTCTGGAAAAATAGTCCTGAGTGATCAAATTTGCATAAGCGCAGATGTCTATTCTTCAGAAGCAATATCATGATGAACTGAAGTTGGAGCTTCAAGGAACTCAGTATCCTTCCATTGTGGATACAGTCAAGCAGAATGATGCTGTGGAAGAATCTCTCTCTAATTTGCTCCAGATTACTGAGGATGCTGATAACATGTCCAAGGTTGTGATGCCTCGTAGGAAGAGAAAGCTTTATGAAGCTATGCAGGTAAGTTCTGTGTATGTTATTGAGATGCATGCTTAGCCACCCCTTTCACCGAACACCAGAAAAGTTAATCTGCTTTTGTTTGGTGGTGAATTAACATGTGTTAAAAGCGATTTAAAATTTTGGAAAAAGCGTTCCCAGTTTGATCATTTATTGACCAATATGATTTGTGGCTCATGGCTACCGTTCTTTCTCGTACAGATTGGCAAACAGCGGAAACGTGCTCATGTTCACCTTCTCAAGGAAAGAAAGGAAAAAATTGACGCAGCGAAAAAGTCGTAATGGGATACTGGGTATTGTGGTAACCTGAAATGGTTACACGTTCATCTTTTGTAAAATTTTGGTCTCCATTCTCCTGCTTGTAGAACTTGGTCAAGCATTACCCATTGTACGAAGACGAGACCATGAAAAAGGGGAAAAAAGAGGAGAGGGGGGGGGGGAGAGGCAGAGGATTAGAAAGAAAAATCACTTTGTATATTGTCTTGAAGATTGCCGACTTGATTGGCTAAAGTTTTGCGGCAATTGGTGTTATTCATCTTTATCGTTCTTTTGGACTTGCAAAATTGGCTCAATATTGAGGAAGATGTATTTGAGGAAATTTTGTTAAATGTATTTGAGGAAGATGTGCTCGAAGTGGTTCTGTCATGGCGGTAAGGTTACCTGGAAAAGATTCACCTGTTATTGTCCTTTTCAGCGCGGTCAACTACTGAGACGTTCACGGAGCAGTTTGAAAACCGGACCGGATCAGAAATTGCGAAATTTGTCATGCCTCTGGTCTGGTTTAATAATTAATCGAAATAATCAATTGAATTGGTCAAATTCGTTTAAGAATCTATTGAATCAGTAAAAATTAGGAGGTTTAATCAGTTTCTATTAGTTTTTCTTTTCTATTATTCAAATTTTTATAATAAAGTAAATCTAAAAAATGATTAAACCTTTTAATTGGAGTCACGAACGATTAAATGACAAATGAGAAGCTTTTTGCTTCACTTTTCAGTTTCAGTCTAGGTTTAAAAACACGCATTCTTTTGTGCACGGCACGGGTTCTACTTGCCGTTGTCTGGGTTGAACCAAGCAGAGCACGGTTAATGGTCCGATCAAAACTAACACTTTCCGAATATTTACAACTAGGAGGCAAAAGATTTGGCTTAACTGTTAACCAATCGTATCTTCGTATTTCATGTACATACAACTTTCTATCTACTATGGCTAGGACAAAAGAAGCAGGGACATTTTTGAAAATTGAACAATTTAACGGCCAAACATTTTTTGACCGGACAAAATGATCAAAAATAAACATTAGGCTATAAAGTGAATTTAAGACCAAACATTAAGGGGTTTATTGCCATTTACCCAATCGTAAAATAGATTAATCTTTACATATTACATATACTCATATGTCCCATAAAGATAAACTGATTTCTACTCTGATTAGGCCGGATAGTCAATGTAATCATTTGTTGCTGAGTACTTCTTTAAATGCCTTTTCATTAATACTTGTTTTAGTGTTGTATTTAATATTTCTAGTTGAATGATTAACTAATAGAATGTCATATTTACTAATTAAGATGCAAACTAAATATGGATATGCTAGCAAATTCATGCACCGACTATTTTTTCAAAAACGGAAATGGACCCATAATTTGAGACAAGTACAATAAGAAAGAGAGCTTATTTTTATGGAAATGAAGTGTGCAAATATAGTGTGATAAGATTAATATAGGATTAATGTTCCTATATATTCACTGTATAGCGTTTGATAAATGACAATCATAGAAAATTTAAATTATTTTTACACACATGTCATGAATCAGATGATGATAGTGTATATACACAGTCAATGTATATAGGATTTACTCGTTAATATACGAGCGAAGTTGGATGTTTGAGTAGTTGAAAAAGTCTATCTCTCTCTCTCTGAGTCCGAAGTTAAAATTTAAATTACCATTAAGCAGCATGAATCCATACCTAGCGGAATAAACTCATTTAATTTGTGTTTAGATTGAAATGTTTTGATATAAAATAATTTGTTTCACAAATTCTAATTATCATTTTATCTTTCCAATCATATTTTTATTTCACATACATTATATTACAAAAGTGTAACAGTAATTATCTCAAATAAATCATCCAATAAACTCCTATCCAAAATTAACCCTTGGAAATGTAGCAAAGCTTTATGATGCAAGTAAAATAAATTGCATGGGCAATCCAAACATCCTTGACCTCCTCCTCCCTCCTTCATTCTTCTCAGGACCGACGAGTTTCACCAAAATCTTACAATTGACACCACCGCCGCCGTCATCACCACTGTGGCCACACATACGCCTTATCCGTAGCAACAAATTTTTCCATTGCAAGTCTTCTTTTCTTGCCTCAATTTTATGACGGAATGTGGTTATTACGATAAAACCATAGACTGTTTGAAAATGTTCTTTAGTATCTTAATGCCATGAAGAGTGGACCTGTGCAAGTTTAAATAATGAACGGGGAGCTCGCAATCTGGTTAGTTGTCTGACCTCCACTCTCGTGTAGTTGTTGTTTCAATTTTCAGCGGTTACAACGATCGTAAGGTACCGTTGTCATTTGCAACTATACTGATCATGTCCATACATATTCATTCTTTCAACTTCAATTTGATAAAGTATCCATTCACAGATTTTTCCGTGAATGGCCGTTCTTCATGATATTTGCTTCATGAGCATTTTTTAAACCTTAATGAGCTACCTGCCGTATTTTATTTTAAGATTTGGCTATTATCCTATCTGTGTTAACTTGTTATCTTGCTGCCATGCCTTCGATTGTTTTTATAAATTCTTTTCCAATTTCCGTTTGCTTATCTTTCGGTGGAGGGCATTTAGCTTTAATAAATTGCGCAGAAGTGATAAATTGTACGCACAAAGTCCTTTCCTGTTAGCTTTTGTGCATTTCTCTTCTTGGTGGATGAGAGTTGATATTTGAATCCCATGATGCAAGTCTGACCATTTTGATGTCTAATATTACTTTTCGCTTTTCAGGTGTTGCGGCAGTCTCCTAAGTCAGAGCACCCTGATAGAGGTCAGCCTGCTCCTCATGCACGTTAAAGATTTGGAAAATGCATGAAAATGCTTCATAATGAGATATTAAAAATTTTTTGATTGGTTAGGACGGTCACAATTGACGAAACGGTCGATCCAAATTCCTTTTCCTAACGGGAAATTTCATTCTGGTAGAACTTAGCCTGGTTTCTTCATACTTTCAGATGGTCATTTGGTGTCAGTTATCTAGTACATGGTAAGTCATTTGTATATGTCTGCAGCAGTTGGTGAGAAAAATTTCCCCAAGTCATAATTTGAAAGTTCGATAATGATGATTTTAGCACTTCCACTCAATCCCTTGGTCCTTATTTTAAAGCTTGGTATTGATTTGAACTTGTCTACTTTATTTTTAGCCTTAATAAAAATGCAGTTCTTTTCATGACTGAAAATCATTGGGGGCGCTTCATGTGCTATTTGGTGATTCAGGAGCCATCACATATATTTCATGTATATGGGAGTCAGGATGGGCTTGAAAGAGAAGTATATTCAGACGAAGAGCAGTACCATTTTAGCTTTGGATGGAAGAAGGCGGTGCTTGGACATTCAGATAATGACAAGCTGCATTTGCAATATGAAGTTTATGACTTCCTTTATTTGGATCAGATGTTTAAAAGATTGTTTCTTGCTATTTTCCGTGGCTTCCGACGAATCTAATTTACTAACTCAGATCATGTTTGTAATCTTTCCATAATCTGTGGCATTCACACCATTTTTTCCATTAACATCAAGAATTATGATTATTGGCTATTCTTTAATGCTTTTGCTTAAATTGCTCTTCAGAAATTGGAATATAGTGATTAGCAATCTGGATAAGCATGCAGCATGTTGTCTGGTAATTTTCTCTTTATTATTTTCATGCCATCGCAACATATTGTCAAATTCTGAAGCCAGTGAAAACAGAAACTTGACACACACACAAAGCTGAGTATTACTACATCTGTTTGGCATTTACACCTGAATATATGATCCCTATCACTTAGCGCTGTTTAAGTACTGATTTGAAATGCTCCCTATCATGATAGATTTAAACTGATAGCATGTCCTTGGTTTGATGAATTTCAAGTTATCTGCAATAGAAGATTCCAAACTGAACTATGCGGTGCCAAATGGCGATCTTCTTGCTTTACTTTGGTGATGATGGCTTTGGATGAGAAGACTTCCCTGTGATTGCTTTCTTGACCTTAGCTATTGAGTGCTTGACTTTTGATCCAACGCCTGACAAGATACTATGAGATTTCTTTGGAGAAGCTTTGACATGGATATCTCTTGAGGCTTCTACTATGACTGGATGGTCATAGCCTAGCTCTTCTCTTTGCTGTTTATCTTCTTCCCCTTCTTCATCTTTAGCTTCATCAGTGTTCGGTTCCTTAGGTTCAGAAGTTCCTGTTATTCCATTCTTCATCCCTTCTCTTCGAATTGTCTGCTTGCTTTCTGAAATAATGTCTCCAGACACTTGTGAGTTCTCATTCTTTGATACCTCGAGAAGATTAGGAAGTGAAGTCGTAGTTTTTTCCTCTAATATGAGCCCCCCTGTTGCTTTTTCAGTTTCCTTATCTTCGTTGCATGTTACTGGTTCCTGGTCTTCTTTTCCAGCACAGATGCTTTCTGTTTCCTGGACTGGGAGATTCTTGTTGTCAATTAAGCTATCATTTGGATCTCCTCCTCCTTCTTGCTTATCAGAATCACAACAAGGGCCCCCCTCATGTTTTTGCATGTTCAGAAGGAGACTGGTATCCATCTCAGTCACAGGATCAAAAGGCCCCTCCTTTCTAGTTACCTCCAATCTTGATTGGTTGATGGTTTTTTGTTGGCCTTGAGCTTCTCTATCATCTTGTTCTGGCACCAGCTCAGACTCTGAGTTCTCTTCTGATATGGCTGATCTGAATTTCTGTGTTTCGTCATTGCAGTCATTATTAAGTCGTTCCTTTTCTCCATATTCTTCTTTGACTGCCTCTGCTGCAGCCTGGGAAGCATCTCCAGGTTTGAGTTCTTCTGTTTCAGGCTGTAAAGTTTCACCTCTCTGGCCTTTTTGCATTAGTGAGATGTCTTTGTCTTCAGTTAAAAGCTGTCTTTCAATGCCAGTTTCAGGATCTTCTTTTGCCATAATCACCAAATCTGACATTATAATGGAACTTTTATATGGCATGTTGATGTCCTCAGAGTTATTTGTGGCTTGTGTAAGATCAGCCAATCCACCTTTTTGTGCTATTTTATCAACCTGACCTTTGTCTTCCTTACATTCAGCCTTTGTTAAGATTTCTTCTCTGGGTCTCTCCATGACCTTCACTTCTGGAATTAGATCTGATTTTATATAGCTTGACATATCTTCGCATTCATCACTCGCCTTTCTTTCTCTTCCACTTTCTGCTTCTACCTTCGATGCAACAAGATTGAAATCATTGGCACGTTGCAGCTCCTTTATGTTGCCTTGGAATTCTCTTGCCGACTCCTGCCCAGTAAATGGAAAATCAGAGTTTTTGCTCTGATTGTGAAACTTTTTATCTTCATTTTCACTTTTTGTGATATTTTCATCTCCGTCTAGCTTCGTCACACTTATCCATGTTGGGAGACTTTCCTGTCCCTGTGAAAAAAACATCAGTTCTATTCTTGTTCATTTAAAAAATTTCAAGTTATTACTGTTATGCATTTCTTCATACCTCAACCTTTTCTTCCTTTTCCTTATCTTTGATACCACTCCCTTTTGGTATGCTGCTGACCTCTTTTCTGGATTCCTTTTGTGTAATTGAACAATACTGCTCTTCTTTATCCAATTTATTGCTCTCTTCATCTCTAGAAGTTCCAGAGAGAAGTAGACTGACAGCTTTATCAATTCTGCCCTCTTGCTTTTCCAGAACCAAGCCTCCTGTGGCATTAGTCATTTCATACAATGATTCACTTGGTGAATAGTGAGTCACTGTATCATCCTTGTGGCTTTCCAAAGTATTTATGTCTTCTTTGGCAACATCTTCACTCTTTGGATAATCCCCAATCTTTTCATGGACTGGCTTTAGCGGCTCAGCTCCAGACACAATGTATTCACCTAATTTCTTTGATGATGCTGTTGCAGTCACTTCTGAATCATATTTGAATATTTTTTCTTGGTAATTAGAACCCTTTACACCCTCGTCGTACTTTGGAGACCATACTCCAGGAATTTCAACCTATACAAGTATGGGACATAAATTATAATCTCATGTTATGGGTAGCTTAGTTATTACAAATATGGTCCTCATGCATAATAAAGTTGTAGTTAAGAAACCCAAAAGATTTTTTTTGGTCAAACTAGAGAAAAGAGAAGAATGAAACAGTGTATATGACATTATGCAACAAACATGTTTGGTATGGCAGGATAGTGATGACCTGATGAAGACTGCAAGCTAAAACATGCTGAAGCCTGTAAGACCTAGAAGAGTTTATTCTGTTCGATTCCTCTGTTTTTGACCTTCTTTTTATGTTGTGCTATTTCTTTTACTTCTTTCTTTATGCAAGAGATGGACTATTTCATTGATATAATTTGGGTTTGTTGTGGAATTATATTTTTTGGAGTCCAGTCTTTGTGGGCCGCACCTCTGTAAATGTTGGAAGAATCATCAAGAACTAATTTTTTAAAATTTTACAGTCATGGATGATAGAACAGTCATTTCTTCTGCACTATTACAAGTAAGCCATATGATATAAAGGTTACTTAACTCATGTAGGCTTTCTGATTTCTGAAAAATAAAGGTGCTGGTTGGTATCCTAGGGTTTTATCCAGGCAAAATATATATGATGCCCTTAAGAAGAGGTCTATGCTTACATTTCTTTTTTATGAGCTACCTTAATGCACTCAGGGAAGCAAGGAAAAACTTGTTTGTGCTTATGCCATGCAGGGAAGAGAAAGATGGAAGAAACATCATTGGGATTGGATTTCTTAGCTTTTCATTCATTGCAAGCATGCTTTAAGATCATCATGCTAAAGATAGAACTGTATTGCTATGTGACCTTTTCATTTGAAGTAGCCACTTCAGTTTCTGTGTTTCTTCTGGGCAACTTGTCTGCTTTTTCCTGCAATTCTGATTTGGTTGTCGTATCCATTGTACACCTTTGCTGCTTTTCTTCTTCTGCAGGGCAATATTGCACTGTTTCCACCATAATTGGATCTTGGTGAGGTTCTTCAACGACTTTATCTGCACTTGGCTTCTGCTTCTTGAATCTCTGAGTGGCGTCAGATGTCGCAGTTTTGTCAAACTGATATATAATTGATAAAATATAAGATTATACAGTTGAGTTGCTATAGAAAGGGACTAAATCATGGTTATGTTAGTTGTTTAACCTTTGTAGTTTCCCTTGCATTATTTGTGCTGACAGATATTTCATCTACCGTTCCTCTGATATCTTCTTCTGTATTTAGCTCATCAGCACTTGTATCATTCACATTAGTTTCTTCCACATTTTCTCCAAGGGTATAATGTTTTATTTCCTTTGCTGTTAAAACCTCGCAATACCCACCAACAACATTTTCTTCACTTAGGATCTGTTTCTTGGAACTCTGAGCAGCATCAATTATCTCAGGTTCTTCAAACTAGCAAGATTTATGAACTATCAGCATTACAAAGTTGAGTTATTACAAAAAGGAAAGACAAGATGCAGTTATTTATGTTGTCTGACCTGTGTAGTTTCCGTTGCACTGTTTGTGGGTTCTGATATTTCATCAACCTTTTCTTTGGGACATACTCTCGTCTTTAATTCATCAATGGCTGATGTATCCTTGACACTACTTTCCTCCTTTCCTTCTTCTGTTGGACTGTAACTTAGTATTTCCTCTGCAGTTGAAACTTGGGGAGGCCCTTCAACACCCTCATCTTCACTTGCCATCTGGTCGTTGCAATTCTGTGTGACATGCATATTTTCATTATCTTCAAGCTTGTGTAAACGTTTATGAAGCATCAGGCATTTTATGAATCTGAGGTTGCTACAGAAGGAAGGAAAGATGAAGTTGTTATTTTTATTGTCTGACCTTTGTATTTTGACTTGCATCATTTATGACATCAGATACATTGACAATCAATCCTGGCTCAACTTCTGACTGTAGATCATCGCTAGATTTTGTATACTTGACGTTGGTTTCCTCCTTTCTTTCTTCTTCAGGGCTGTAATTAACCTTGTCCTCTGCAGTTGAAACTTGAGGAGGCTCTTTAACGACCTTGCCTGCTGGCATCCCTATTTTGAAACTATGGTTGGCATGAACTGCTTCAGGTTCTTCAAACTGGTACCCATTAATGAAACATTAGCATGATAAAATTGATTATATATATGTGTGTGTGTGTAAATTTATATGTATGTTTTGTGTGACCTTGATACTCCTGCTTGCACAATATGTGGTCTCAGAAATAGTCTCTGCCTGTGCTCCTGGATCTTCCTCTGGCTTTAACTCATCTAGAGTTCTTGTATCCTGGACATTCCACTCTTGTTGTGCAAGGTTGTAATTATCGATTCCCTCTACAGTTGAAATTTGGTCAGACCCTTCAACATCCCTGTCTTCATACGTCATCTGTTTGTGGGAACTCTTAGTGGCATCTATCGTCTCAGGTTCTTGAAACTGTTGTACACCAGTTGAATGATAAGCATTATGAAGTTGAGTTATCATAAAAAGGAAGCTAAAATTATAGGTACTTTTGTTCTTTGACCTTGGTACTTTCACTTGCATTCATTGGGGTCTCTGATGTTTCATTTGACTTTATTTCTGGAGCTCCTTCTGGATTTAACTCAGCTTGCTTTGACACATCCATGACTCTGCCTTCCTCTTTTCCTTCTTCTGTGGAGCTAAAATTGACTAGTTCCACTGCAGTTGAAACTTGGCAAGTTCCATCAACAACTTGGTCTTTAGTTGGAATCTGTTTCTTGAAATCTTCAGTTTCGTCAAGCTAAAATAGATTTTTGCAATATCAGCACTAAGAAATTGAGTTGCTAAAAAACCAAAAAACAATTTACGTACATTTTCATGGACATTTGTACTTTGACTTGCAACTTTTGTGGTACTAGATATTTCATCTACCTTTATTCCTGTTGCTAACTTGTCTGCAGTTGTATCTGTAACATTCGTGTCCTCATTTCTTTCCTCTGTGCAGCCATAGTTTCCTACATGCTCTGCAATCGAGACTTGGAAAGACAGCTCTTTGACAACCTTGTCTTCACTTGGCATCTTTTTGTTGATATCCGGAGCTGCTTCTGTTCTCTCAGGTACCTCAAACTGGTATAAAGTTTATCAAATATCAGCAGTAGGAATGTTATTACAAAAAAGGACTAAAGTGGGTATTTTAAATTATAGACCTGTGTACTTTCACTTTCACTTTCACTTTTTGTGGTCAGAGATATTTCTTCTACCCCTATTTCGGGATTCACTCTGGCCTTTTGCTCATCTTTCGTTGCTGTTTCATTGGTATTCCTTTCTGCGTTTCCTTCTTCCGCATGGCTATAATATACTGTTTCCTCTGCAATTGAAACTTGGGGAGGACCTTCAACAACCTTGTCTTCAATTGGCACTTCCTGAGTGACATTAATTGGCTCAGATCCTTTGAACTGGCATTATTTATGGGATATCAGCATTACAGTGTTGATCTAAACCAGAAATGGAATATCAAATTTTAGTTATTATTTTTGTCTGACCTTTGCGTTTTCACTTGCATTTTGTATGGTCTCAGGTACTTCACTGACTGTTAAGTGTGAATTTACTTCGCCCTTTAATTCATCTCTGATTGTTGTATTTTTGACATTCCTTTCCTCCCTTTTTTCTTCTGGTTGGCGGCAACTAACTACTGCTTCTGTAGTTGAAACTCTGGCAGGCGCTTCAACAACCTTGTCTTCCTTTGGCATCTGTTCCTGGAAACTGCTAGTTGCATCAACAGTCTCTGCTTCTTTGAACTGGTATGAATTTTATCAAATGTTAGCATTACAAAGTAATTTGTTACCAAAGGGAATGATGAAATTGGTAGTTATTATTTTTGACCTTTGTGCTTTCGCTTGCATAATGTGTCTCAGATACTTCATCTGCCTTGACTCCTGATTCTACCTTCAGCTTTAATTCATCTATGATAGCTTTATCCTTGACATTCTTTTCCTCTCCCTCATCTGCATGGTGATAATTTACTATTTCATCCATAGTTGATACATGGTGAAGCCCTTCAACGTCCTTGTCTTTACTTGTTATCTGTTCTTCGATACTCTGAGCGGCATCAATTGGCTCAGGTTCTTGAAACTGGTATAAATTTTTTATTGTCAGCTGTATGATATTGAGCTATCACCAAAAGGAATACTTAAATTATTGGTACTTTTAACTTTTTTGACCTTAATACTTCCACTTGCATTCATCATGGTCCGAGATGCATCATCTGGCTTTATTCCTGGAGCTACTTCTGGCTGTAATTCATCCTGGATTGCTGCATCTGTCACATTCCTTTCCTCCTTTCCTACTCCTGGGATATCATTTACTTGTTCCTTTGCAGTTGATACTTGGAAAGGTTGTTCAGCAACTTTGTCTTTACTTGTGATCTCCTTCTCTAAACTTTGGTTTGTATCATTCACATGGTATCCTTCAAGCTGTAATAGAGTTATGCGACATCAGCATTGTGGAACTGAGTTGTTACCAAAACAGAACACTAATTTCTTAATATTTTTCCTTTGGCCTTTGTATTTTGACTAGCATTTAATGTGGTCTTAGAGTTTTCATCTACCTTTATTCTGGTTGGTGACTCATCACCAGTCGCATTGTCAACACTCTTGTCCTTTATTTCTTGGCTAAAACTTCCAACAACCTTGGCAATTGAAACTTGGATAGACCTTTCACCAATCTTGTCTTCTCTTGGCATCTGTGTGTTCACTCCCTTAGTTGCTTCTATGTTCTCAGGTAGTTCAAACTGGTATAAATTTTATGAAACTGTAATATTAGGAAGTTGATGTTACATAAATAAGGATGAACTTTAGTTAGTCTGTTCTTATACCTCTGTAGTTTTACTTGTACTATTTGTGCTCTCAGATATTTCATCTTCCTCCATTTTGTGATCTGCTTCCGGATTCAAGTAATCTCTGTTTGTTGTTTCCTTGACATTTGTTTCTGTCTTTCCTTCTTCATCAGGGCTATAACTTACTAATTCCTCTGGAGTGGGAACTTGGGGTGGCCTTTCAACAATCTCATCTTCACTTGGCATCTCTTTCTTGAAACTTGGGCTGACATCAACAATTTCAGGTCCTTTGAACTGGTAAGAAATTTATGAAGCATCAGCATTGTGATGTTGAGCTGGTACAAAAGTGAAAAATGAAATAACGAATTTTGTTGTTTGACCTTTGTAATTTGACTTGCATTGTCTATTGTTGGAGATATTTCTCCTGGATCTAGTTCAGGCTTTAACTTATCACTGATGGTTGTAACATTGAGATTCCTTTCCTCCTTTTCTTCCTCTCCAGGGCTATCGGTAATTGTTTGTTCTGCAGTTGAAACTTTGGGTGGCCCTTCAACAACCTTGCCTTCCTTTGTCTGCTCTTCCTGGAAACTATCAGTTGCATCAACAGTCTTGGCTTCTGTAAGCTGTTGTGAAATGTTATTAATTATTAGCATTGTGAAGTCATCTATTACAATAAGAAAAAGATGAAATTGGTAGTTCTGATTCTTATTTTACCTTTGTACTTTCACTTGCATAATGCGTTTCAGATATTTCATCTGCCATCATTCTTGATTCTGTCTTTGGCTTTGCTTCAAGGTTTTCATCTGCCGGTGTTCTATCCTTGACATGCTTTACCTCTCCTCCATCTGCAAGGTGATCATTTACTAATTTGTCTGCTGGTAATGTGCCCGGAGACCTTTCAACAACCTTATCTTCTTCTTTTATTTGTTTGCTAACACTCTGAGTGGTATCAATTGGCTCAGGTTCTTGAAGCTGGTATATATATATATATGTTGAAATGTTAGCTTGCTGCATGATGAAGTTCGAAAAAGAGACCTGAAATTTGTAGGTATCATGTGCTTTGACCTTTTTGCTTTCGCTTTCATTCATGTCTTCGGATAGTCCATATAGCTTGACTCCTGGAGCTACTTCTGGCTTTAACTCATCTTGAGTTGCTGCATCATTGACATTCCTTTCCTTTCCTCCTCCTGCTGGCTTATAGTTTGCTGATACCTCTCCAGCTGAAACTTGGGAAAGTTCTTCGTTGACTTTGTCTTTTCTTGGGATGTCTTTCTCCAAATTTTCAGCCATGTCAGTCTCATTTGTGTCTTCAAGCTGGAATGTGTATGCAACATCAGGATTATGAAAGTTGAGTCATCATAAAAAAATGGAAGATGAAACTTTAGAGTTTTTCTCTTTATCCTTATAATTTTGTGATGTTGGATATTTATCTGCCTTTATTATTGTTGACAACTTGTCTCCAGTTGTATTGTTGACATTGTCCTCCTTTCTTTCTTCTGCAGGCCTATAATTTTCAACATTCTCTACAACTGAAACTTGATGAGTTCCCTCAATAATGTCGTCTTCACTTTCCATGTTTGTGTTGGGTCCATGAATTGCTTCTATATTTTCAGATACTTTCAACTGGTATGCATGCTATGAAACATTGTTATTATAAAGCTGAGTTGTAACAGAACAGAAGGAATTGTTATTTTGTAGTTGGACCATTGGAGTTATGCTTGCAGTTTTTGTGGTCTTAAATGTTTCATATACCTCTACCTTGGAATCCCGTTCCGGCTTTAACTCATATCTGGTTGTTGTTTCCTTGACATAACTTTCTGCCTTAACTTCTTCTGTGTTGCGGTAGCTTACTGTTTCTTCTTTAGTTGAAGACGGGTGCAGCCCTTCCACAATTTCATGGTAGCTTACTGTTTCTTCTTTAGTTGAAGACAGATGTAGCCCTTCCACAATTTCGTCTTCATGTGGAATGTCTTTCTTGAGATTCTGAGTGAATTCAATACAGCAAGGTTGTTTGAACTGTATAGATTTGATGAAATATGATCATTATGAAGTGGAATTGTTACAAAAATGAATGACAAAATTCTAGTTATCTTTGTTGCCTGACCTTTGTACTTTCACTTGCATTTTCTGTGGTCTCAGATTCTTTAGTGTCATTTTCTTCTTGAACTCCATGTGGATTTGAATCATGGCTGAGTGTTGCATCATTTACATTTTCCTCCTTAACTTCCTCTTTGCAGAAGTAATTCACTGCTTCTTCTGTTGTTGAAACTTTGGGAGGCCCATGAACAACCTTCTCTTCCCTTGTCGTTAGTTGGTTTAAACTCTGAGTTGCATCCACAGTTTCAGGATCTTCAAACTGCTTTCAATTTTATAAAACATCAGGATTACCAAGTTGGTTTGTGGCAAAATAAAAGGATAAAATGGGTAGGTTTGTTGACCTTTATACTTTCACTTGCATTATCTATGGTATCAAATATTTCATTTGCCCTGACTCCTGCATTTACCTTGGGCTGTAATTCATCTGCAGTTGATGTGTCCTTGACACTCTTTTTCTTATCTTCTGCAAGGTGGTAATTTAATATTTCATCTGGAGTTGATACTTGGTCATGCTGTTCAACAACCTTTTCTTTACTTGGTATCTTTTTGTTGACAGTCTCAGTGGCATCAATGGGCTCAGGTTCTTGAAACTGGTATGAGTTGTTTGGAACATTAGCACAAGCACATTTACTTATCAGAAAATGGAAAATTGAATTTGTTTTTGTTCTTTGATCTATGTAGTTGTGCTTACATTCCTGATGGACTGTGATAATCCATCCGACTTTATTCCTGGAGCTAATTCTGGATTTAATTCTTCTTGCATTGCTGTATCATTGACATCTCTTTCCTCCTCTGGTTTTTCTGCAGGGCTATAATTTATTTTCTCTTCTGCAGTTGAAACTGGGTAAGGTCCTTCAAGGCCTTTGTCTTCAGGCGGACTTTGTTTTTTGGGGCTCTGAGCATCAAATATCTCAGTTCCTTCAAACTGAGGTAAATTATATTGGACTTAAGAATCAAGAAGTTGAGTTGTACAGAAAGGAAAGAAATATGTTTCATGTTCATAAACCTTTTTGCTTTGACTTGCATTGCTTGTGGTTGCTGATACTTTATCTACCTTCACTTCTTGATCTACTTCTGGTTTTAAGTCAGCTCCAGTTGTATCAATGCCATTCCTTTTCTCCTTTCTTTCTTCTGCATTGCAATAATTAACTTCAATTGACACTTGCATAGGCCCCTCGACAACCTGTTCTTCACTTGACATTGGTGTGTTTGTTCTCTGAGATGCATCTGTTACCTCAGGTTCTTCAAACTGGTATAAATAGAAACATATTAGAAATTTGAGTTTTAATGAAAGGAAAGAGGAAATTCTATTTACTTTTCTAGTTTGACTTCTGTACTTTCACTCGAATTTTTTGTGACATTAGGTATCTCATCTACCTTTTGTCCTATATGTCTCTCAGGCTTTGACTCATCTGCTGTTGTAACTGTGACATTCCTTTTCTCCTTTCCTACTTCTGCATTGTCTACGGTCGGAGATATTTCTCCTGGATCTATTTCAGGCTTTAACTCATCGCTGATTGTTGTAACATTGAGATTCCTTTCCTCCTTTTCTTCTTGTCCAGGGCTTTGATTAGTTGTTTGTTCTGCAGTTGTAACAACCTTGTCTTGCTGTGGCATCTTTTCCTGGAAACTATCAGTTGCATCAACAGTCTTGGCTTCTGTAAGCTGTTGTGTAATGTTATTAATTATAAGCATTATGAAGTCATCTATTACAATAAGAAAAGGATGAAATTGGTAGTTCTGATTCTTATTTTACCTTTGTACTTTCACTTGCATAATGCGTTTCAGATATTTCATCTGCCATCATTCCTGATTCTGTCTTAGGCTTTGCTTCGTGGTTTTCATCTGCCAGTGTTCTATCGTTGACATTCTTTACCTCTACTCCCTCTGCAAGTTGATAATTTACTATTTTGTCTGCTGGTAATTTGTCCGGAGACATTTTGACAACCTTATCTTCTCTTTTTATTTGTTTGTTGACACTCTGAGTGGTATCACTTGGCTCAGGTTGTTGAAACTGGCATACATATGTTGAAATGTTAGCTTGATGCATGATGAAGTCCAAAAAAGCAACCTGAAATTTGTGGGTATCTTGTTCTTTGACCTTTGTGCTTTTGCTTTCATTCACGTCTTCGTATATTTCATATAGCTTTACTCCTGGAGCTACTTCTGGCTTTAACTCATCTTGAGCTCCTGCATCATTGATATTCCTTTCCTTTCCTCCTTCTGTCGGGTTATTAGTGCTGGTTCCTCTCCAGCTGAAACTTGGGAAGGTTCTTCATTGACTTTGTCTTTTCTTGGATTGTCTTTCTCCAAAATTTCAGCCACATCAGTGCCAGTGGTTTCTTCAAGCTGGAATGTGTATGCAACATCAGGATTATGAAAGTTGAGTTATTATACAAAATGGAAGACAAAACTTTAAGAGTCTCTCTCTTTATCGTTTATAATTTTGTGATGTTGGATATTTATCTACCTTTATTATTGTTGACAACTTGTCTCCAGTTGTATTGTCGACATTGTCGACATTGTCCTCCTTTCTTTCTTCTGCAGGCCTATAATTTCCAACATTCTCTACAATTGAAACTTGATGAGCTCCTTCAATAACATCGTCTTGAGTTTCCATGTCTGCGTTGATTACACGAGTTGCTTCTCTATTTTCAGATACTTGCAACTGTTATATATGCTATGAATCATCAGTATTGTGAAGTTGAGTTGTAACAGAATAGAAGAACTAGGTAATTTGTAGTTAGACCATTGGAGTTATGCTTGCAGTTTTTGTGGTCTTAGATGTTTCATATGCCTCTTACCTTGGAATCCAGTTCCTGCTTTATCTCATCTCTGGTTGCTGTTTCCTTGACATAGCCTTCTGCCTTAACTTCTTCTGCATTGCAGTAGTTTACTGTTTTCTTCTTTAGTTGAAGCCAGGTGAAGCCCTTCCACAATTTCGTCTTCATGTGGAATGTCTTTCTTGAAATTCTGAGAGAATTCAATGCAGTGAGGTTGTTCGACCTGTATAGACTTGATGATAATTATGAAGCGGAATTCTTACAAAAAATGAATAACAAAATTGTAGATATCTTTGTTGTCTAACCTTCGTACTTTCACTTGCATTTTCTGTGGTCTCAGATTCTTTAGTGGCGTTTTCTTCTTGAACTACATGTGGATTTAAATCATGGCTGAGTGTTGCATCCTTGACGTGGTCTTCCTCCTTAACTTCCTCTGCACAGCAGTAATTCACCGCTTCTTCTGTTGTTGAAACTTTGGGAGGCCCGTCAACAACCTTCTCTTCCCTTGTCATCTGTCGGTTGAAACTCTGAGTTGCATCCACAGTTTCAGAATCTTCAAACTGCTTTCAATGTTTATAAAACATCAGGATTACCAAGTTGGTTTGTGGCAAAATAAAAAGATGAAATGGGTAGGCTTGTTGACCTTTGTATTTTCACTTGCATTTTCAGTGGTCTCAGATGCTTTAGTGTCATTTTCTCCTTGATCTACATCTGGATTTAACTCATGGCTGAGTGTTGCGTCCTTAACATTGTCTTCGTCCTTAACGTCTGGAGAGCAATAATTCGCTGCTTCTGCTGTTGAAACTTTGGGAGGTCTGTCAACAACCTTGTCTTCCCTTCTCTTTTGGTTCAAACTCTGAGTTGCATCAACAATTTTAGGATTTTCAAACTGCTTTCAATGTTTATATAACATCAGGATTACCAAGTTTTTTATGGCAAAATGAAAAGATGAAATGTGTAGGTTTGTTGACCTTTGTACTTTCACTTGCATTATCTTTGGTATCAAATATTTCATTTGCCCTGACTCCTGATCTACCTCAGGCTGTAAGTCATCTGCGGTTGTTGTGTCCTTGACATTTTCCTCTTCTTCCACAAGGTGGTAATTTACTAGTTCCTCTGGAGTTGATTACTTGGTCAGCCTGTTCAATGACCTTTTCCTCATGTGATATCTGTTTATTGACAGTCTGAGTGACGTCAATGGGCTCAGGTTCTTGAAACTGGTATGAATTGTTTGGAACATCAGTACAAGCACATTTACTTATCAGAAAATGGAAAACTGAATTTGTGTTTGTTCTTTGACCTTTGTACTTGTGCTTGCATTGCGGATGGACTCTGATAATTCATCCAACTTTAGTCCTGTAGCTAATTCTGGATTTAATTCCTCTTGCATTGCTGTATCCTTGACATCTCTTCCCTCCTCTTCTTTTCTGCAGGCTATAATTTACTTTCTCTTCTGCAGTTTGAAACTGGGTAAGCTCCTTCAAGACCTTTCTCTTCAGGTGGACATTGTTTTTTGAAGCTCTGAGCGGCATCATATATCTCAGTTTCTTCAAACTGAGGTAAATTACATAGGACTTAAGAATTAAGAAGTTGAGTTGTACAGTAAGGTAAGAAACAAATTTTATGTTCTTGAACCTTTTTGCTTTGATTTGCATTGCTTGTTGTTGCTGATACTTCATTTACCTTCACTTCTGGATCTACTTCTGGATTTAAGTCATCTCCAGTTGTATCAATGCCTTTCCTTTTCTCCTTTCTTTCTTCTGCAGTGCAATAGTTTACTACATTCTCTGTAACTGACACTTGCATAGGCCCCTCGACAACCTGTTCTTCACTTGACATTGGTGTGTTTATTCTCTGAGTTGCTTCTATTACCTCAGGTTCTTCAAACTGGTATACATAGAAACATCTTAGGAAGTTGAGCTTTGAAGAAAGGAAAGAGGAAATCTGATTACTTTTGTAGTTTGACCACAGTACTTTCACTTGAATTTTTTGTGACATTAGGTATTTCATCTACCTTTTGTCCTGTATATATCTCAGGCTTTGACTCAACTGCTTCTGATGTAACTTTGACATTCCTTTTTTCCCTTCCTACTTCTGCAGGGCTGTAATTTTCTAATCGCTCAGCAATTTCCAAAGGCCCTTCACCAACCTTCTTGTTGCTTAGCAAATGATTGTTCAAACTTTGCATGGCTTCAATCATCCCAGCTTCTTTAAACTGACAAGAGTTTTACAAAACATTAGTGTCACAAGGTTGAGTAATTGCAAAAGCAAAAGAGGATTTATAGTTACTTTAATTGTCACCAACCTTTTTACTGTTACTTGCTTCATCTACAGTGTCAGAAACTTCATCTGTACTTAATCCTGTCTTCACTTCTGGCTTCAACTCATCTTCTGTCTCTGTATCAATGTCATTTTTCTCCCTTTTATCTTCTGGAAGGTGATCATTTAGTCTTTCCTCTGCTGTTTGGTGATGCCCTTCAATAACCTGTTCTTCGTCTGAGATTTGTTTCTCCAAACTCTGAGTGCTATAAATTGTCTGAGGTTCTTCGGTCTGTTGTGCATTCAATGAAACATCAGAAAAAACTAAGTTTAGTTGTTAAGCATGGAAAAGATGATATTTTAGTTGTTCATGGTGTTGACCTTTGAAGTTTGACTTGCATTGTTTGTGCTTTCATTTGGCTTTGCTTCTGGTTCTACTTCTTGCTTGATATCATCATAAGTAGTTTTATTATTTTCACTTCCTATCTCCTTTCCTTCTCCAGTGCCGAATTTTTCTGTTTCATCTGCTGCTAAAACTTGGCTGGGCCCTTCAACAAACTTTTCTTCAGTTGGCATCTCTATCTTGAAACTCTCTGTGGCATCGCTTGTCTCAGGTTCTTCAAACTGGCTTGAATGTCATGAAACATGAGTTTTGTGATGGTGAGATGTTATAGAAAGGAAAGATGTAGTAATTTTATTCTTTGACCTTGTGCTGCTTTTTGTATTGTTTGTGCCAACAAATGTTCCATCTGCCTTTACTCCTGGATTTACTTCGAGCTTCAGATCATCTTCTTGCTTGCTCTTTTGGTTTATTACCTCTAGAGGAGAACAACAGCTAGAATCCTCTCTACTTCTATGCTTGTTGCCGATCTATCATATAGACTCCTCAGTCAGCCTTCAACCAAATGTAAGAAAGTACAGGAAAGGAAATGGACATAAGGGAAACATAACATTTCAGATGCAAAATCTTAGCATCCTAACCTTCTCAAGTGAATGGTCATTTAATAGGATATCTTGCATTTCATTCGATTGCTCAATAAGAATTGGTTCACCTTGAAGCTTGTCTTCATTTATTTCTGTCTCTTCTGCTATGGTGAACACTTGAGGATTTTCAATGTCTGCCTTGGATTGGAGAGGTTCATCAGGACTCATGAATGGCGTAGTTGCTTCCTCATATTGGTGGTCCTCTTTATTTGGCTGATTTTCTTTTCCCAGCGACTGAGAAATAGCCAGTTGTTCACGATCCTTGCTTGTGTCATCTGAATTATGACTGTTCTCATCCTCTGTCTTTTTTCCTATGGAAAGTCCCCTTCTGTCTTCATACTCTATCGGTGCAGAATCATCTACCTCAGAGACATGTTCTTTACCCCTGTTTCTGATGCTTCTTTCCCATTATTTTTTACAGGAAGCAACACTGGGTTGTTTGCCTGTTTGCAGCGTATGTGGAATTTAGTTTTATAGGCAAGACATGAAAAATGAGACTTTTGGAAATGGTAAACAGCTTACCTCATCAACTGCATTATTGTCTATAGATATCATTTGAAATTCCTGAACAGAGCTATTGTCTTTCACTGATTCTGTCATTCTTCTGTTTCCCTCTTCTAAATCAGTAGCTACATTGTTGCCTCTGATTTTTTGATCATTCATGCAATTGGCTGCTTCTATGGGGCACATGCTAATAACATTCTTGACCTCTAAATCTTCTCCTGACTTGCTTTCCATACTGTGGCTACCTACATTTTGTATCAAATGCTATCAGTTCTACTCTCTATCACCAAGTGGGCAAATTTGTGTGTCTCATTTTACTGTTGGATATTTTACCCTCCATAAAATTGACCTAAAATGGATACACCTTTGTGTTTGAAGCAAAAGCTATTGAACTTAAGTGGTGAGGGTTGAAGGATTCAATGGTCAGACCAAGTAGTTAGTGTCATGGGCACCTTCAACTTGTCAATTACATAACCATCTTATGAAGAAGTTTGTTTCTATTTCAGAATACAAATTGTTTTCTAGCTCTTTGGTGGCATCAATGATAATATTTAACTGCATACCTATCTGTTCTTCAACTAAAATATTCTTTTTGTATGCACAAATTAATTTTTTTGTTTCAGCTATCTTGTTTTGATGGAGCCTTTGCTTTTGAGGTTGGAAAGCTTGCAACTTGATCATGTGCATAGATTGTAATGTGCTTCTCTTGCCTAAGGTGATCTGTTGCCCTTGTTTTATTCAGGTTATGAGTTCACCCTTTTGATTACACATATGGAGGGAATGACTGTTGCGAGTCTGGGTCTATGAGAATCTAGGGAAGTTTACTGAGTTTGCAGGCAGCATATCTTATGTGTTCTTGGCTATACAAGCATAATTATGCTATTTCTGACAATAGGCCGTATTTTGTCACCATCGAAGAACTCGTAAGGAACAGAATCTGAAATTTAATTACTCACTCTGTGACGTAGAATTGTGTTCTCCTGAAGAAACTTCATCTTTCTCCTGCACTGTTTCTTCAGTATCGTCCCCATGATTTTCCTTGGTCTGGCTTTCCTTCTCGCTCATTGATAGTATATCAGAGACTGCTCTGACAGATTCAGGCCTGTCATAGGAACTGCTTCCTCTTTCACTAATAGAACATTCTAAGCAGCCTGTACCTAGAATTTCAAGTTGATTGTGCGTTATTTCTTCCATGTCCTGACTTAATATATTTGTGTCTTGAATGCCTTCTGTTTTGGTGCTTGACTTTCCTTCAAGTTGTTCAACATTGTCTGAGTCCTTATTCTTTGACATTGTCTCATCCATCGATTTAGCTACCAAAGTGCTATTTCCAGGCTGTTCTGTATTGCTGTCACGGTTTTCTTTTTCCTTCTTGTCATCCTCATTGTTTGGATATTCATAATGGCAGGAGATGCCAACATCTTCATTGCCACCATCTGTTGTCCCATGAGTTGATTTGACCTCATAATTTGTAACACCAAGTCCTGCTGTTCCAGCACGTGAATCTGTCATAGTTAAGGTCATCACATGGCCAGCTGGCTGTATTTCAGCAATTTGAGCATTTTCTTTGGCCTCTTCTATACGGTCACTCTGGCACACTGTTTGTGTTGAGGTGCTTTCTGATAGATCAGAACCATCTCCTTTCCCTGTTATTTCATCTATCTCACTGACAGTTGAATGCAAAATTTCAGAATCCAACTTCATATCATCTGTAATTGATGAGATCTTCGGGAAGTTTGCTTCTTTAGCCTGGAAACTTGTTTCATGTGGATCCCCTTCAAAGGATGCGGTTGTGTCATTAAAATTGTACCCCATGCCACCCTCTTCAAAATAAGCCCCTCTTCCAACATTGTTTACTTCTGCACTGTGAGCTGAGGTTGGTTCAATTGAATGTCTACTTGATTCTTCCTTTACACTGCCTCCACACTCAGCTTTCTTCTGATTGCTTGAGTCAGGTTCGGTATTCATTTCACAGTTTTCGGATTCATAGCTGCCGTCAGTATCATTGTGAAGAGGCTCTACTTGCTTTATTTCTGCAAGGGGATGGTTGCTAACTGGTGTACCAATAGTATGGAGTTCTTTGACTTCCTTCTCTGTTTCTTGCAGAAAAAGGTGAAGATCCTGAAATTTAAAAAAATTTGGAGGCAAACCATTAAACAAAAGGAAGATGAATGGTCAATTGCTAATAGCGCCATTTAAGTAGGCAAATGAAACTTGATTTGACAGCAGCACTTTGTCCTCTTTCCATTTTATGTTCTTAAAATTATTCTTTTTTGGGCTAACGAGCATCATGTTAGAAATTCTCAGTGAAGTTGATTTCAAATCGAACATGTAAGACTGATACTCGAAAATACTGAAGTTTTGGCTTAGGATTGAGTCTGCTGTAAAAATTCAGCTTGCAGAGGAGAAGTTCTATATGATTATAGCCTAAATAACCATTAGTAATTAGAGGAACTTGACAGTGTAAATACGTTCATGCTTGCTTTTTTTTTTCTGGTTTGTCTCATCAAAAAGATTCTACAATCGATGTCCTCAACTAAAAGATGTTCTTTGTTTGTTCCTTTATGAGGTCAAAAATTTCACTTATTGATCTGCTGTATATGCAACTAAATATATGAGCAGTTCCGGTATACTTTCATAATATAGCTTATAAAAGTGGAAACTGGAAACTTCTAAGTATAAGGCGACTGACAATCTCAACTAGGTGTGTGTAGCCGGCTTCAAGGACTCAGATCAAGCTAGGAGGAACAATTGCTCAACGGTATTGTTGTCATACTACATATTGAAAGGAGGCTAGCGCCATTTTGTTTGGTACAGTAAATCAACTTCTGTATGATCATATGCCAATTAACATGATCTCCTCTTATCTGTCAACTTCTTGTTGTACGTTCATTCCAACCCCCTAAAAACTGAAAAACAAGATATTCTAATTTGAAGGTTTTATACTAGAATCTTCATCTCAGTTACAGCTATTCTGCAAATTTTCACATAGCCATTTTGTAGTAGAATGCACATAACTGATAAAGTCAAGACTATATGTGTACATGATCTGAGAACTAATATTGATGCATAGGCTACTGAGCAGTGGTATAAACTAGCTGACTTATCAGATAAAAGGAATGTCACTTACCGTTGCAAATATGGTTTGTGGTTTATCATCTTCAGTTGCCATTTGTGATGCAGTAGTAAGAATAAGCTTACGAGTTGGACTTAGATTTCTATTCGTATGAGGTGGTCTGCATTGTAATCGGCTCTTTTTCTTAAGAATAAAGGGGGGCTTTTATGTCTGTCCTTGAAGAGTAGATGACATTTAACGATCTTTTTTGATGGACGTGTGTTACTAAAGTAGGCAAAAAATGACAAAGTGCCACTTGTTATATGCTATTATGTATTTGATTCGGTTGGATATTTAATGTTCCTCGAACGTAATTATTCACCATTTCACATGACCATGCGGTTTTATAGCGCAACTACTGATCATTCATCTCATGATTTGCGCATACCTGTTCATTTAGCTACTGCTTCTTTGGTTACTGGCGCTATAAAGATTATATTTTAACGAAAGGTTCTTGTTTTTGCCAGTTAGCGCTAAGCTTCCATTGCCATTTACCGGGCCCAGGAAGTGAACTACTTAAGAGGCTGTTGCTCAATTTTACCAGTTGCGGCTATTTTGACAGCGCAGGAGAAATACCAAAGCCGAATGATGAGTCGGAGAAATTAGAAATTGAACAAGTAGAGCTTAGTTGATTGGGATTGTAACAGGTACAGAGCTTATTTTACGCTTTCATGGCAGTGAATTTGATACCAAATGTAGCACTCTCCAGCTTATCTGGAATTCAACCTAGATGCAGCATCAGGAGATGGGAGTGTGAAATGAATTTAAATGTTAAACATTGAATGTCCAGGGATTGCAATTCAGAAGCAACGCTGCTGGACCAAACCAAGAAGTGATGCATGACGACTGTACTCGTCAAGTGAAAAAGTTGGCCGATTACAAGGAGTCAATAAACGAAACCAGAGTAAGTTTGATCCTACTTTTGGTCCATGGGCCATGGTTTTGTGGTAATGGTAATTGTAGTCCTTGAATCATAAGTACTTGCTTCCACGTCAGTTTTTTTTGTAGATTATGTCGCATGTTAATAGCGTACTGATTCTAATTATTTACTGGGGATGTTACGTACGAGAAGCTGTTCCTTCGTCAGCCTTTAGCTCAGCAGTAGAATTATGGGGGAAAATTGGTCTCAATCTTACCTCTAATCATAATAATCGTTCATCATTGTAGAACGAAAATATGGTCTTGAGAAAAGAAAGAAAATACGTATTGGATGACTTGCGTTTTATCCAGATAAGGACGGCGGCGAAGGAGGACAATACAACTTGGGTTTGGTCGGTTTGATCTTGATTGTGTTGGTGGCTATGACTTGTCACTGAATAGCATAGTGCATTCCTTCCTGCTAATCTGGTGATCCCGATCCGTAGGAAACTACTTATTAGTGTATTGATCATGAACTTGGAGGAACATCAAGTGTTCGAGATTTAACGTCAAAGAAAGCTATTCGGAAAATATGTGCGCCTTAATCTCCGGTGATCTTTTCCTACCTACCACAGAAGAAAGAGACGTACATATTGGCTGCTCTTCTTGGCAGGCACCTTTTGCTGGAGCTTCTTTTTCTGTATTATCAGCATATCTCGAAAGCCCGGCAACTGGGATTGTGTCACATTCCTGATTTTCTTTCTCTTGATGTAGTCATAATTACGTGCCCCAATTTGCAATCTCAAATGTGTTTTTTTTTTTGTTTATCGGAATTGGGATAAAAAAATAGACCGTCTTTTGAAGTGGGAGTGGGTGTGTGATACCGAAATCGAATGTCCATATGCAAGAAAATCTCATTGGGAGACCTCAGCCGCGGGACCAAATCACGTCTCTTTCTTTACTTTTTGTTTTCCTATTGCGTCCGCATAGACCTAAAAGTTTCACAAGATTGGGATCGGACAGGGTAATGCAATCCGCTTGAACTTCTGATTTGGTGTCAAGTTGATTTCTCAACTCCGTAAAGGTATGAAATTATTCTCACCAGTAGATAGATGTCTTTTCATATCGGTACTATCAAACCCCGGTTTTAGTGTATTATTAAAATAAAACAAAAAATAATGTAGGCTGGCGCATTAAAATGGAGGATTAAAATAATGTACGCTGACAGTATATACACATTTTCATCATTGATGCATGACACATAATTCGAATTTGAATTTGAAACTCAAATTTTGCATATGTACTGTGCATCCAACCAACCGTGATAGCTGCACATATAAGACTTGCTCTAAATAAAGTAGGCTGTGCTCAAATCAGTTTCTTCAAAGCTTCTAAACCAGTTAATATAAATCTCGGATGCTTAAAAAGGATTTTGAAGTTGGGTCTCTGCGAAGCCAAATAGTAGTCAAATGTATAGTTCCCGATTGAGCTTGACCGGACTAGGACAATGGGCCATGACGCAGAAACAAAACCAGGTGGCTTTTGCAATTGGGAATCAAGCTTGAGTTGTAGTAGGCCCCCGGTCGAGAGACTACTACTACGTCCATGTCCCGTACCGGAGAAGGAAGAAAAATGGACAGAAAGAAAGAAAGAAAGGACAAGCATCTACTGTTAACATCCACGTGATCGCTCCGAGATCCAAATGGACGTCTCGAAGCATTATTATTGGTTTGCTTACTTGGCCAGCGCAACCCGCAACGCCAGCTCATCCCTTGGTTCCTCCATCTTCGGTCGCTTTCCGTTGGGCAATTGGCAGCCACCCTTTGTCCCCACCACCACTAGAGATCAGGCAGGCACTAATCCTGTATCCCCCACCTCTCTTGAGTCTTGAGTCTTGGCTGGCCTGATTTGTCACCATGCCAACTCTTCTTTTTCATCTTAGTTCCAACTTTTTAGTTTTGTTTCCCACCCATATAACCAAGCTACAATTGCCTGTCTGCCCATCCATCGCGTCGTCTGTCTATCATCATGATTCATCACTCATCAGATGATGATGATGATGATCCATCATTACTTAAGAACAAAATGTGGTCTGAGGATGCTCACCTCGGCCATCCTTCATGCCCGAGGTGAACTCACCTCGTCCTTCATCAGAGCTCATCCGCGTCTCGGGGATATCCCCTAAGCTCGGCTAAATCCCTAGTCTACCGGGTAGGTGACCTCGGCACCTTCACCTCAACTGCACGCTAATGATGTCAGGACACCTGACATCACCCGGGATCAGTGTGCTTTATCTGAAAAGCACTGTTGCACTTAATGGCTACTGCAAAGGACTCCCCGTCACCCTGTCCGGGCGGCTACAGTGTCAGAGTCAGGCCATCTGACAGGGAGCAGAGCCGTAATGGCAGGACATGGGTCCCACCGGCATAAGACCTCCGTCCTGCCCTCCACTCTCATTCTATAAATACCCCACACCCTCCCAACAAGTAAGCATACACTGTTCATTTGCTCATACTCTAGCATTTTCTCGTTCTCATACTAACTTAATCGTCGGAGTGATACCAGGGGAGAAGCCCCGCCATTCACTTCGGACAAGAAGGTTGACTTCGGACACACGAATTCACCTCACCTCATCTCAGAGAGGACTGATTTAGGTCGGCTTACTTATCCACCAAAAATCGCCTCTTCAATTGGCGCCGTCTGTGGGAACGAGATTACTGCTAAAATGAGATCCACGCGCTCCAGAAGCGGAAGAGTTCCCTCAACTGGGGCTGGGCAGACATCCGGAGCCCAGCAAGATCGTATCTCTGAGGAACATGGGTCCCAAAGGACCCAGCCCAACAATGAGGAGGCCATCGCCAAGATGGCCGAGTTTGTCACGGACAACCCCAACATCTTTGAGGAACTAGGAAGGTACCTCAAGAGGCAGGGAAAAGAAAAAGCCGAGTCTTCCAAGAGGAGACCGACGAAGTCCCCTGAAGTGCCCTCAGGCGAGGACTCCGAAGATGGGCGTCTATCTCGGAGCACCTCCAGGCGAGCCTCATCCAAGGCAACCTCCAAGATTGCCTCCATCTCCCGAGCGTTTTCTCGGGGACTACTGGGAAAACGAGCCGAGGACCCACCTCGGCGTCCCGGAGGCCTAGCTTCTGATTACATGAGGGCTCCGCCCTTCACTGATGACATCAACGGGGAAATGGTGCCCCCGAACTTTAAGCTTCCAAATTTGCACACCTATGACGGCCGAGGTGACCCCGAGGATCACCTCCGCGCCTTCATCTCCGCATTCCGACTCTACTGCGTCCCCGACGCCGTGATCTGTCGGGCTTTCCCCATCTTCCTGCACGGGACCGCCCGGAAGTGGTTCTGGAGTTTAGAACCGGGGAGCATTTCCTCCCTGGATGAGCTGATAGACCGGTTCATCCACCGCTTTGTGTCGTCTCGACCAATAACAAAGACTTCAGCTTACCTCTTGAACCTGCAACAGGGTCAGGGCGAGTCACTTCGCTCGTACGCCCAAAGGTTCAACGAGGAGAATGTACAGATACCTGACCAGAACGAGCAGGTAACTATTGCTGCTTCACCAACGGGTTAATAGCAGGGATCTTTAACACCGAAATCCATCGGCAGTACCCCCGTACACTCCGGGAGCTCTGGGAAAGGTGGACCAGGGAATCCGAAGTGAAGATGTAAATCGCATGAAGCGAGAAGCCCAAGCATCTCGTACGGGGCAAGATCCCCGGAGGAGGAAAGACACTGGCCGAGGTGAACCAGGCCCAAGTGGCACTTCAAACCAACCCCGAGACCGCCGAAGTGTCTTCGACCGGATCGTGAAAGGCAGATCGTCCACCTCGGACGCCGAGCTGACGCCCCTCAATTCGAGCCGGACCCACGTCCTGGCTGTGATGAGGCAGAATCACCTCGGCCGAAACCCTCCCGAAATTCCGGGGAGGAGAGATAAGAGGAACTCGAACCTCTACTGTGCCTACCACCGTGATGTAGGGCACGAGACTGAAGACTGCAACGACCTGAAGCGGGAAATCGAAAATTTGATCCGGCAGGGATACCTGAAGCAATTCGTCCGCAAGGATGGAGGCTTCAACCGAAGTGTCTCCCACCGGGAGAACCGGGGCCCTCGCCGCGACGACCGACGGGACACGAACATGCATTGCCGAGGTCCCGAAGACCGTAGGGAGGACAAGCAGCCCCCACGCGATGGCTCACCGGGCTACGGCCCCAACATCGCCGGGGTGATCAACACCATCGCGGGAGGACCAACGGGAGGAGACAGCCAGAACTCCCGGAAGCGGACCTACCGCCAGGCCGAGATGGAGGTGGCCGAGCCGAGCTCTCGGCTGTCCGAGGTCATCACCTACGGTCCCGCTGACCCCGTTCCTGCGGCCTCCAGCAATCATGAAGCTCTTGTGATTGAAGTCCTCACCAACAACTACGTAGTCAAAAAGGTCTACGTAGACCCCGGAAGCTCGGTAGACGTCTTGTACTACCGGACTTTCGAAAGTTTGAAACTGACCAGGGAGCAACTCACTCCTGTCAGGACTCCCCTCGTGGGATTCGGGGGACACGTCGTCCACCCGGAAGGCATGTTGACCCTGGTGGTAACAATCGGGCGTCATCCACGCTGCCGAACTGTGCCTGTCAGTTTTGCGGTGGTCAAAGCAGACTCCCCCTACAATATGCTGATAGGCCGGCCCACGCTCAATGCCTTGAGAGCCGTATACTCCACCTACCACCTGAGCTTTAAATTCCCAACATCTGCGGGGGTGGCCGAGGTAAGCAGCGATGTGGGCGCCGCCCGGGAATGCTACCTCGCCACCATTCAAGCAGCAGTCACCCCCCGGCCCTCACCGAGGTCAGAAGAAAAGAGGCCAGCGGTCCTCTCCATAGACTGCATCGACCCTCAGAAGGCAGAAGAGCCCAACAGGCTGGAGCCCGGGGATGAGGTGGAACTGGTGGTAGTGGATGAAGCGAAACCTGACCAAGTGGTCCAAGTAGGGGCTGGACTACCCTCACCCCTGAAAGAAGAAATGATCTCCCTGATCAAAGACCACCGAGACGTCTTCGCGTGGTCCGCGGATGAAGTGGTCGGAGTGCCACCCGAGCTCATGACTCACCAACTCAACGTTGACCCGCAGGCCCGACCTGTGCGACAGAAACGAAGGCACTTCGGCCCCGAACGTAGCCAAGCCATATCGGATGAGGTCGACAAGCTCTTGCCGGCCAAGATGATCCACGAGGTCCAATATCCCACCTGGCTGTCCAATCCAGTCATGGTAAAAAAGGACACCGGGGGATGGAGAATGTGTGTCGACTTCACCGACCTCAACAAGGCCTGCCCCAAAGATTGCTATCCTCTGCCAAGGATAGACGCCCTCGTCGACGCGGCGATGGGGTATGAAATCCTCTGCTTCCTAGATGCCTTCAAAGGGTATCATCAAATAGGAATGAGTGAGGAGGACCAAGAGAAAACGGCGTTCTACACCGACCGAGGTACTTATTGTTACACTACCATGCCCTTCGGGCTAAAGAACGCCGGGGCGACCTACCAAAGGCTGATCAACCGACTCTTCCAGAATCAGATCGGCCGCAATGTGGAGGCCTATGTGGATGACATCCTCGTTAAAAGCCTCGCCACTTCATCCTTTCTGTCAGACGTGAGGGAAGTCTTTGGTGTCCTGCGAGACTCGAGGATGAAGCTGAATCCCAAGAAGTGCGTCTTCGGCGTCACCTCGGGAAAATTCTTGGGGTATCTGGTTTCCCACCGGGGAATCGAGGCCAACCCCGACAAGGTGAAAGCCATTCAGGACATGTC